TGATATTTCAATCTCCCACTCTGTGCTTATTTGTGCCTTGATTTATGTATGTATGTATGTATGTATGTATGTATGTATGTATGTATGTTGCTGCTATGGCTCTGGTTTTTGTGTTATTGTGTTTCTTCTGTATTTTTTCATTTTTATTTTTTATATGTTGAGCACTTTGGTCAACGTGAGTTGTTTTTTAAATGTGCTTTATAAATAAAGTTGACTTGACTTGACTTGATCAGAATATCCTTGAACACAAGGTGACATCTTCAGATGTCCAGTACCCAAAGATATTTAATTACCATTAAGTAAGACCAAGAAAAACAGCAAGTTTTCATATTTGAGAACATGGAACCATCAAAAATGTCATGCTTTTTGATTGCTTGAAATCAATTATCAGTATTATTATTAGTTGCTGAATATGAAAAATTATGTTTATTTTTTCTTTCAGTTGAGAAATTGATTAATCATTTTATCTCCGTGAATAAACAGATGGCGGCTGGACAACTGACAGGACCATTCAGATGAAGCTGCCTATCAAGCAGTTGGGTCAGCCATGGTAGTTTAACCTGAGCAGATACAATGTCGATATAATGAGTGATTAAGCAGCTTAAAAATGGTGAAAACATGATTTAACATAATTACCAGGCTTCTATAGGAATGCTCCCCCTAGATAAAGGATCAGTAAATGCACATGAACTCATTATACTTTACAGTGCAGTGGAATTATCTGTTTTTAGCACAACACTCACGATTGCATTTCTGCAAGTCTGACACTAAGAGTTGCAGACTTGACAGAGCTCCTCCAGAGTCACAGAAGACTTTATACAACTGTTTTCACATGTCTGGTTGTACAGCAGGGTATTAAACTGTTATGTGTAAAGTTGTGTTAGTTTGCCTTCAGATCATATGCATTTTCTTGCCAAGATAATAAATCTATAATTCTATATTTATATAATTTCAAACCTTGTTTTCATGTGACAAGATCAGAGTGTGTTGTGTCCTGCATGCTGCTGCTGCCTGATGTGAGGTGACTGCTCTCTCCCAGTCAAAGACAGTTGAGAAGAAGCCGAGGATGACAGGGTTCCCAGGGGACGTGTTTCAGCGCCATATGCTCGCCTCCGCCGTTGAGTCACTCTCACGCCAACTGTTGCATCGCACCGACCTTTAACCTCAGAATTCATATGCATGCTCACAAACACACAGCTGATGCATTTGGACACAAAAGTCCTCCCTCCTGTCTGTCTGTTGTCTTTTCCCTCCTTTTTCCCCGCTTAAACTAAATCTGCTAACGTGGTCATTGTGTTGTATCGTTTTCAGTTGGCAGATTGTGGTGACACGATTGAGGAAAGTATTCCCACAGTCATTAACTCTAGTATGTACACATGTCCAACCAAAAACACAATGTATGCTATGAAAATAATAGCCTTATTTCCCATACTACTGTATATTTCTAGCAGGAAAGTTGTTTTAGCTGCATTTGTTAGGCTTTACTAAGTGTTTCAGTTCAGAGATGTGTGGCCTGACCACACAGAATGGGGTGTGCCTGTAATCTAATTTAGCTGAGGGTCCTTAAAATCAACATCCACACCCATACACCCACCTGCTTCATTTCATATACCCAAACATACACACTATAGGGTTACAAACCACACAGTGGTCCGCAATCACAATGGTATGGCGTGTTTGGGTACTGAGCATGTTTCTGTAGATTGTACACTGTTATTTAATTTAATTTGTTTGACACAAGGTTTGGCTGAAATCTACAAGAGACAAAAAATAGAATGAAAGAAGTGAAAGGCAGCTGTTTGATGGATGTAAACTAGGAACTGCTGAGGAAATTTGGCGACAGTTGATAAGGAAAATTGTTGAGAACTTATCATTTCATCATGGCTCACTGATGACTGATAACATGTTACATCTTGGCTTTTGTACAGATTACGCAACTGAGATATAATAGGTTAATGAGACAGTTCTCCCTCATATCGAAAATACATTTTTCCTCCTACCTGCAGTGCTATTTATAAATCAAGATTGCTTTGGAGTGAGATGCCAAGTGGAGATATCGGCCATAGAGATGTCTGCCTTCTCTCCAATATAATGGAACCAGATGGCACTTGGCTTGTTGTGCTCACAAAGTCAAAGTAATACAAGTAAAAATAGGAACTATTTTCTTCCTACAAAACTACACCTTCCTGGGTGAGAGGTTCATGCACAGCGTGAGATGTAAACTAAGCTTCCCTTTGCACGGTGATACTGTGATGGATGTAATTTGGTGGATAAAAAGTAGTTCCTAAATGAAATTGCCCACAACAATCAACTATCTCAAATACCTAGTCATGATTTCTGGTACCTTTGGAACCAACAGTAACCCTTCAGACATGGTACCTAGACTCTAGTGTTTCCACTGCAAATAGTACCCTTAAATGTGGGCGTGGTTGTTGTCACTCACTGCTCCATCCAGCACTCACATGTATTTCCTCATCAGCGGTGACACAGATGGAAGTCTGCACCTCGTTTATCATCCACAGAACGAGGTTGTATGCCAACATTTTCAGAACAAAAAGAAGAGAGTGGACTGATAGGGATATTTAAAAATTGTGGCATTTTTTTACGCTTGAAAATCTCCTCCTTACTAGAAGGGATCCAAGAGAGGCAATAAAAACTAAAGTAATGGTCAAAGAGAAATTTAAGGTGTGTTGATGGATTCACATCAACTCATGCATTCAGTAACATTACAAGTTAACGTTCCACCTTAAAGTTGCCAGCAGTTGGCCCAGTGAGTTAAGTTATCTTTTTCTTAGACTCCAGCTGCTGTGAGAGGCAGCAAAACATCCTTTCATTTTATAGTTACAGTTTACCAATAAATCTCTCCACAGTATGAACAGTGGTTACATGAGCCTCAAAACCAGACACAACTCAGCCCTGAGCAGAGTGACCGTCCTCTACTGACCAATCAGACTGCAATGATCACAGCTCCACCTTTTAGTACCAGATCTGTGTGCTAGGTACCCCAACAGAGGGGGGACCAAACATGGGGACGGTGCAGAACAGTTCTATTGGTACCATCCACAACTTTTCACAGTGGAAATGGAAAAAAAGAGAACGAACTTAACTTAACTGCTTGGTGGAGACAGGGCTTTTGAGCACCACAAGCTGAGTACCATCTAGTTCCCTTGTATTTCAGAGAAGGCATCTCTAGGGCCCATATTTCCAACACTCAGCAACTCACACCAAAACAGCCTAGACTGAGAAGTAGCACTACTGGTAAGAAGAACAATATGTATTTTTGATAGTGGTGGTGAACTGACCCTTAAAGGCTAATTAGTGAGCTTTGGAGAGGTTGGGTGTGTAGGTGCATTTTGTCACCTTTGGACAGAACCAGGCCAGCTGTTTCCCCTGCTTCCAGTATTTATGCTAAGCTAAGCAAACCAGCTGTGATATGTAACTAACAGATATGAGAGTGCATCATCTAACGCTCAACAAGAAATCAAATCTTTTCCCAAAAGTTTCAGTATTTCATTAATATTTTACAAATAAAAATGCACTTAAAAAATAATAGGCCTATTAAAGGATTTAACCCAACAGCATATAAGTGGTTCAAGCTCCACCTCAGCAACAATATGCTGTAAATAATAAAGCACATTTAGAGAGTTTATTAATTCAATTTTCATTTAGGAATTGTAGATTAATCATAGGCCAAAAACAGAACAAGTTTTGGGTTGCCAGGTTCTAGTCTGGTTATGTGTAGTCTATATCCTCCCTTTTAAGACACCTTAGGTTTAACTTTAGATAGGTAGGCCTATCTTTCAATTTTCTGATCATATTTAGTCTACTTTACTTCGGAATTGACATGCAGAACATGTGGGAGTTAACTGAAGTACTTTTATTTCAATAAATGATATGAATATTTCTCTCCCTCACTGGTTTCAAATCCAGCAGGCCTGCATCCCTGATAGCCCCGTGTGTGTGTGTGTGTGTGTGTGTGTGTGTGTGTGTGTGTGTGCGCGTGTGCGTGTGCGTGTGTGCGTGTGCGTGTGCGTGTGCGTGTGCGTGTGTGTGTGTGTGTGTGTGCTGGCTGCTGGTGCCTTTGAAGAATCTGAGCCTGCTTGTATCCTTTGTAGTGTCCCTTCAGCTGTGCGGGCGCTTTGACGCTCCTCTGTCAAATGGTCGCAGCTTTGATCCCCGTGTCTCCTCCGCTCCCATTTCAATGTGTTTCCTCCGACGTTCACACCCAGGTCCAGTTCGTGAACACCCTCCTCCACCGCCTGTTAATGATTCCTCCAAGACCCCAGGATCATCTGACAACAGACAATGAACACAGACGACGTGTGGTTTTGCACCATATATTAGATGTACCCAACTGGTGTGGTATATGAAATGGAAAACTACACAAACACATATTTTCGGGTGCTTCCACTTTTTCATTTGAAATCAGGAGCTAAGTGCGCATGCTCCACCGCCGGTGCGTCTCTGTAGGTCTGGTGGCTGGTCCAGACAGACTGAGTCCAGACAGGATCTAACAGTCCTTTGTTAATATGCCCATTGTATCTGAGGTGAGAGTGAAGACACTTGAGAGAGGTGCGACTCTTTCATGTGCGCACATGCGCGTCCTCGTCGTGAGAAGAGCTCGGATCCAGGAAGGGATGGTGTTAATGGGAAGAGGAGAGCATGTGCATGAGAATCTCAATTTGTAGAGTGATTAACTTACCTTGTGAAATTTGACTTTTAGCCTGCAGGGCATTTTGTGAGGAGTGGCTGTGGTTTAATGGGCCATGCAATCAAAGGTAATTTTTTAAGCTTTTAATAGCTAACTGGCCCAAATTACTTCCCACAAATTAGCCTGGAGTGCTAAGATTACAGCAACAAAAATTTATTTTCTTAAAGTAAACATCTAATTCATTTTCCTGGAGAAAAATGCCTTACCCATATTTTTATATTTTAAATTCTATTTGATGTTTATGCTGCTTCCTGTTGTAATACTCTCGGTCATTGAGTCAGACAACCGCTTTTCAGTTACAGTATTTTATTTATCAAATTCAGACATTTTACTGACATTTCTAAACATCATTACAACAATAAAGTGGTCGTTCTTAAGGAGGCTACTGGTCCAATAAACTACAGGCCTTTATGAAATACAATAGAAATATTTATATTAATCAGAGGCATTGCCGAACTTCTCGGTTTCTAAAAGAGCTTTTCTCCACGTACAAATCCTATATACACTGAGTTACTGACACAAGAAAAGTGTGAACTGTTCCTCCTCTGTCCTTTGTTGGGTTATAAGTGAATGTTTCTCGTCTTTCTCCAGGTGTAAAGAACAGTCACAACAGAGGACTCAAAGCCAGGGAGTCACTACTGAAAAGGAAAAGAGGGGGAACGCTTTCAGGAGGCCCCGAGCTGGAGGGACCTTTAAGAGGAAGGGCCCCTCTAATGAGATAAAGGAAAACTCCACCCGTGGGACACTTTTCTGTGATATCCAAAGCACTTGAGCAGAGATCTTTAAACTTCTTCTTCACTGAGTGATTTCCTACATCCCCCAGAACACCAAGGAAAGGAGTCAAACGTGTTGCTTCAGATGTTGGTGGAGAGAAAGGCCAACACCATGGTCCCTCCACAAAAGTGATGCCAGAGGACAGATTGGACTCTGAGGGTTTGATTATTGAAATTCAATGTGGGGAATCCAGAATAAAAATCCATGCACGTGGCCAGTTAACTGCAGAGGTAAATAAGTCCAGATATATTTCACCAACGAAAATGGTTATTTATGGAGTGCCATAGGGTGGAATTTTCCCTTTCAGTAAGAGGCCTGGTGTCACATCTTAGAAGAAAGCTGCTTCAACATATCCCAACTGCACTCCATCCACACCCCTACCAAGGTCTCCACATAGACCGAGGGTAGGTCATGGTGGGCATGCTCATCGCCTCCCTGTTCTCCAAGCCCTCACTGGAGCTCTGGTTGTGCTCACTGTCGGTCTCGTCCAGGTCGGAGCACAGGTCCTCACTGGACGTGGTGGAGGGGGCCGGGGAGAGGGCCGAGGGCGAGCCGCTGGATAGACTCCTCCCTCCAGGCGAAGCCAGGGTCGTGCAGAGCGTCTCGTCGCCTCCGTGCCAAGTGCTGCCGTTACTCCCAGAAGTGTCAGTGATTAGATCCATCAGCACGTCCTGGAGGTGGTCCTCGTTCAGGGGCATACACTCCAGGAGATGGTTGAGGAGCTCCGCTGCCACTGTGGCATCTATGCCAGGACAGCTGGACACGAACATGTGGACCTCGTGCATGCACTGGATGTAGCCGGCTGCAAACCTCTCGCTGGCTTCTCGGTTGAGTGCGTCTGTTTCTGGGGAGGGAGACAGAAAGACTGTGAAGTGACTGCAGTGGCTGTTTTTTGTGTTGTGATCCCTTTAATTGAAGATGTGTCTGCAACTCTTATTCATCTGTTGCACATGCCCTTCAGGTGTGATCAGTGTACCCTGAGTGGTTGTTTTCCATTCTGTTATTTGATTGTGAGTCCTGATGAAGCAAAGTTATGCAGTGATTAAAGCTAAAAGAAGGTTAGACGAAGCTCTGAAGAAATTACAAAACTTATGTTGCAGAAATGTGTGTCTTTTTCTGCTTTTCTCATCGATTAAACATCTCCTGAACCCTGAAATGTATCCTGTGACCCTGTGTGGGTGTTTTGACCCCCAGGTTGGATGCCAGTGCTCTAAATTTCAGGTTGAACTTTGACCATGCATACACAATAACATCCCATGATTCAGGTTTGATGATTTCAGAAGCAAACTTTAGTCTGCAGGGAGTCAGATACTGAATTTTAAGATTACAACCCCCAGAAGTGCTTTGCAGGCCTCAGCAAGAGCATATAAATTTCATTCCATATGAAGGTACACATATGAAGCTGGGGGCTGGGTTCCCCTAAAAGGACATTTTGAGCATCAAACAACTTATTGCACTCTGGAGAAATTTTATGCATCAATTTTCATCATTTCATGGTGAAAATGTTTTTCATTTGGTCAAAATAAAAGTCCTCTTCAATTTTCATGATCTTGTCATGGGAATAAATGCCCCTGCTTTAAATATTGTGGGGGACGTGTCCCCTGCCCCCCCCAAAATCTACACCTATGGATATACAAGTCTAAGTTGCACAGAGTCGTTCATACCTTGGGTTCGGTTCTTCAGTATGTCCTCCACCTTCTTCACGGTCATCTCAAGCACCTCTGCGTTCTCCATCTTGGAGTGAAACTGTGGAAACAACCAACAGACCATCAGAACCTAACTCTACCTCTGCATCACATGGACAGGTGAGCTGAGCTGTACTCACGTCTGTGTCTGCCAGTAAAGACCGCAGCTCCTGCAGACTCTCATTGATGCGAGCTCGCCTCTTCTTCTCCACCAGAGGTTTCCTGGTCTGCAGGAACACAAAGATCACACTTCATTCAAGGGAGAGAAACTTAAAACTACTGTACATAAGTTGCAGAGATAATCAACTGTTTTAGCTTTAAAAGTTCTTTCCATTAACTCTCATCAATTTGCAGCGACGTGATATGCATCGCAGACTGTCACCGGCGTGACAAGTGCGTCACAGCCAACTGTGTCCAGTCATTCTCTCAGCAGCTCCGCTGTATATCTACCTTTCTGTCCGCTTTCTGAATCCCATAGTAGGACTCATCCTCTTCCATATCCAGTCCGGTGTTGCTGGGCCGAGCCGAGGGGGCCATGTTGGTCGGATCGCCGCGTCTGTGGCTTCTCCCACTGCTGCGTCTCTCCGTCAGCAAAGGGGGCAGCTGGCAAACGGAACCGGTTACAGGAAGAAAAAAAAATCGACAAACTCACAGGCGAGGCGAGGCGCCCTCTGTTTATTGTGCAATCCTAGTGAGACGTGCTGCTGGCGCTGAGTGGCTGTTGTTAGTATTTATAGGGGCTTATTAACATGTGAATGGGGGCTGAGCTGCTCTCGCTGGGGGACAACAGAGCGCACACGGCCGGAGCCAATGAGCGCCCACTCCCTTTGTCTCCGGTCAGCCCCGGTCTGCGCCCCGAGGAGCTGGATGGGCTTTAATCAGACAGTTTGTTGGGTTAAGGGACCGACCGCCCTGTTTTTCCCCCTCTGTTGGCCCTTATTAACTATGTGTAGGCCTACATATATCCAAATGTACAAAATTAATAATCAAGCAGAATAAATAGGCTGTTAAATGATACAAAGCATTTGTCCTTTTTTAATAAAACTATATGATAAATGATTGGATAACTGTTGTTCTTTTATTGAAGGGTAAGTTGTGATTTACATTCAGTAGCCTATAATTTGGTGACATTATTCAACGTATTGCTCTGTATTTGTCCTTGCTGCGCAATTTTCTGACCACCTTGACGTGTCAGTGCATTCCAGTATTATTCTATGAGTGTCTCCTCATGTCTGTTTTTCTGCCCGACCCCATTCTCCGTTCTGCAGCCCTTTGTGTCCGGGCCTCAGCAGATTTACCCGGCTGTTTTGGCGGATGTAACGCGATGCCTTCAGTTGGCAGCTGCTGCTGCTGGCGGCCCCTCGGCCCAAACTGAATCAGCCGGGGGAATTAAGGGCCCTTCTCCAAAGAAAGCGACAGGTGTTGGCCTGCGCCTCGTTTGTTCTCCGTTTGTTTGGTGACTTCTGATTTGTGTGCAACTGAATTCTCACGTTGCCTGCTCCGCTGTGTGAGAGTTTATAGCCTTATATCTGGCTGATTTTGCTGACACCATTTATACCATCTTCATTGTAAAGTGTGTATCAGTATGCAAATTTGAAGATGTCCTCCTTTAAGCAACATTAGGACTTATTGGAGTTAGGCTAAATGATGCTGGTTCTTGTGGTATCATTATTGGACTTTTAAGGGTTTGGATGTGATGGTTTAGTCCTTTGTGCACAATGTCTGTTTGTTTATGTCTAATAAGAGCGCTCAGCCCTCTGCCCTCGTTATTACACTTGTTTTGTTCACACCATTATCATGCAAATCACCCTCACAATAGAGCAGTTCTGTCTGCTCACTGAAGGACCACGCAGGCATCTGTGCCACAGTCCAGGTAAATGCAATGGTGTGTTTCCAGGTGCAGTTTTACGCACGGTATTTCCTCAATTGCGCAGCATTTCCGCAAAAAGCACCACTGAACTCCAGTGCACCAAATGAGGGAAGAGTTTCAGACCTTTTAAGTGGAGGGGTTTTGGCACCTCGCCACCCACAGATCCCCGTTCCAGATCTTTAATGGTGTGGACTGTGGAGAGAGCAGCTGTCTCGGCTCGCTTTTGTTGCTGAGCGCCGCAGAGGGACCAGGCTTCTCTCTCTCTCTCTCTCTCTTTCTGTCTCTCTTCCTCTCTTCAGACCCGCCGCCTGGCTCCATGTGGCGGCCAATCATAACGGTAATAATAGCGGGAGAATGGGCCATATGCACGTTTCTACTTTTCAGAGCCCAGTGATGAATTACAATGATGAATTACTTTCTTCAAACGTAGGCACCCGAGCACATCCTGACCCTGCTTTCTTTCTTGAATGCTCTTAAACCTCGCTGTGTTCCTTATCTGATTATCCAACTTATTTATTTTTACATGTATGTTTTTAATTTTGACAGTTTACCAGAGGCCATTAAACTGGGAAACCAGTGTCAGTGGCTCGACCACAAATACTAGGCATACATGAACAATCCAATCCCTAATAATTCATTCTAATAATTCATTAATTCATTATTAGCACCTCAGTGAAAATAATGTGTTGGCATGCCATGAGTTCCCCCAAGTCATAAAAAGTCTCATTTACCTCGTGGTTTGACTTTAGTGACTCAGGTTTTGAGATTCCAGTCTCTGACATTTCTGTCACCACCCAAAATACAATGGAGGTGAATGGAGTTTAATTTGTGGCACTAAAAGCATCACAAATGTGCCAATAAGCTACAACAGTGTGGAGTTCATCCATCGTTCATTTTATTCAGTGTCAAAACAAAAACATCTTTTAGCACCACAAATGAATTCCATGACTGCACCTCTACAAACCTCAGCACACAAAACTGAAAACATGTTGCTTTATGAGTTGGGTGCACTAACCCTTTAATTAAAACTATAGTTTTGGCCACTAGGGGGCAGGAAAAAAAAACATTAAACTCTGACTTATAATAAGAATTTAATTAATATACATAACTTGTTGTGGCTAATGTGTAATTTAATTTAATTTTATTTTATTTTATTTTATTTTATTTTATTTTATTTTTAATATAATTTCATTTCATTTTATCTAATTGTATCTAATTTTATTTGATTTGATTTAATTTTATCTACCCATGTTAAACCAGGTAAGTCCCACTGATATTAATGATCTCTTTTTCAAGGGAGAGCTGACCAAGTCAGCAGCATAAGAAAAAATTACAGACAAACAACAATAACAACAGTAAAAAAACACAGAAGATATGCATTAACATGTAGAAATATTAAAATACTTACGCAACATGGAGGCTTCAAAGAAATACTTCCCCTATTAAATGACTATTTGTACATCAGTCACTCACTGTAGAGACTACTGTCGATGAAAAGATGTATTCAGTGGTGGTTTATTAAACAAACAGCTGGATAACCAAAGCAAAATGAGATGAAATATTACATGATGTGACATTACAGTCAACAGAAAATATCAGAGCTGAAAAACTCACTTTGTCTAAGAGCCACCACGCCAGTGAATGAACAGGTAATAATGTGAAACCACACCCCTGTGCCAATTACAACTACTATAATAATAAACAGAGGTTAAATACACATTCATTTTCACTAAAATTGTAATATTGAAAACACTTTGGTATTTACACTCTCATGAGCAAATGAATAGCACTCCAGGGCAAGTGCATACATTTGAACTCTGCTCAGTGGGATACAGAGCAGCCCAGACACACTATGCAAAGTGTTTTAGATTGTCAGATTTGATAGAAAACGCATGTGTTTGGGAAGCACTGGCCATGCAGCTGGATAAATGAGACTTGGAGTATACTGCATGAGTGAGCGTTTGTTATCAGGTGTTTTGATATAGTTTTGCTGCTTTTAAATGTGGTCCCCATTTACTTCAATTCATTAAGAGTTTTCTCTGGTTTTGGATTCTCCGTTCAGAGTTTTCTACACAAATTCACTGTAAACCATGGTGAATAACTGATATACAGATTTTTGTGGGTGAAGTCTTCCTTTAAATAGCAACATCTCATTCATGGAGGACAGGCCAATAATAAAATAAAAGGTGGCTGAATTCTGTTAAGCTGCTTCGGCTGGCTTACTGTCATGACTTACTGGGACAGTTGAATGGAACAAAACTGCCATTGATGTTTCAAGTAACACCTGTGCTTTTCCTGTTATGACAAATCAAAATGTGTAAAAGGCCCACATTCCTTTAGCTCTGCTCAGACTCCACTAAAATCACTAAACATTCTGGCATTTGTTGCAGGCCAGATATCTGAGTTTATGAACTAAAACATTTGCTGCTGCTGCTGCTGCTGCTGCTGCTGGAACTGCGGTGACATTGACCTGTCCAGTTATTTCAGTTGCAGCCATTAAAACAATAAACTACAAGAGGCCTAAGAGACGCACTGAGCTGCAGAATTGGGTCACAATTTCCTGTGTCACTGTGAGTGACCCATCTCACAGTCATTACATGACATTTAATTTAAAATGTATATTTAAAAATGATTAATGCAGCTCTAAAAATGTTCTGAAAAGGTAAGTCTGAAGGCTAACATCCTTTTCTTTCTTTCTTTTCAGGTACTGTTGTTATAGGCCTCACTTGCCAATTATATCTCCATATTGATATTTGCACGATTATATTAGTAAATAATCTGATAATTGAACAGTTTGGCTCTCATGTCCTGTCCCTCTGCACTACATGACCACATTCAAAACGTGATTAACATGAACAAGATTGTTCATAAAGCCAAATCAAATCTCAAGTGTGTACAATCAATTTTATTATTATTAATGTTTGGGTTAATTATACAGCAAAGGAGGAAGACATACAAATCTATGCAATACCATAAGCATAGCATCTACGAAGCAAAGTCACGCCTTATAATATCAAATAAATAAAGCTGTTAATACAATAAATACATGAAAGATTAATAAGAGCCTTCTATAATGCAGGCTACGAGAAGTCGACTTCTGAAGGGAAGTACTGAGAAAAGGTCTGTATAGAATCATTATAGCACACCTACAATAATAATCACTGGAACAAAACTGCCCCACGTTTGTCTTCTGAGCAGCATATCTATAAGATACATAACAGAGGATGGTCTAACAAAATGGAGAACTGAGATCCGCCACTTCACCAGGGCCTCCACATCTCCAGCATCCCCAGGTGGGAGCTGTGGAGCGCCGGCCTCTCCTGGTGTCCAGCCACATGGCAGGTGGGGCTCTCTCTCTGGAGCTGCCTCCCAGCGAGGGGCGCTCCTCTGAGGGGTGTACAGGGGAGCCCGGTGCCCTGACCGGCTGGAGGAGGTGCATCATGTCTGGGTGAGGGCTGGCTGGGGCGCTCATCGGTGGACCTGGGCAGGGACTTGAGGAGGTGGTTGAGCAGGCGGGAGCCCAGCGTTTTGTCCATCCACTCGCAGGTGAGGAGCATGTTGTGGACTTCGTGCATGCACTGGATGTAGCCTGTGCTGTATTTCTGCTGGGCCTCCAGGCCTAATGTGGGGTCTGTGGGAGAGAAGGGTGGAGGTGTGAGGTTATAGCACCCCCTGATGGTGACAGCAGAACATGCAGCCAGTAAAACAGCATCAACTGTTGCTTCTTTCCCAGGAAGCTGCTCAGGAATACTTTATATTTGACAGCACAATTTCATTTAACAATTAAAACCAGATTATAACCCTCCTCTAATCACAACTTTACATCTGAATACATTTTGCTGCTGGATATATCTAACACTTTGCTGATGTTGCTCTCTGCTGCTTCAACTAGGGATCTCAAGCTATGTTATGGTCCCTTTAATGCAGTTTCTGACC